GTGTGTGTTTGCGTGCGTGTCGTTCAGTCCATCCGGACCGACCGTTAACAGAACGGAGGAGCTTGAATGGCTACGCATCGTGGTGTTGTGAGATGAAGGAACGGCAAGCTTTGCAGGGAAGGAAAGGTCCGGCGGTCGCCCGGGCACCAATCTGGTGTATGCCACTATTACTCCAGATGAATGTTGCGTGAATACTGGCGCATTGCTTCGGTGATTTATCACTTGTATCAGAAATCTCAAGCAACAATCCTCCATCATTCAGGAAAGCAATCGTGGAAAACCCATCAGACGCGAATTGCGTCTAACCATTGACTTCGTGTTTCTCAGCGTCTGCTTCCTGTTTATGACAATCGTCTTCAATGTTCCACACCAGTGAGTGCCACATTTTCTTCAAAGGGTGAAATGAAATAGAAGTGATGAAGTCTGATCGAGGGTCCATCCTGCGATTAACTCTGTACATTGCGCGAAGCCAGCGAAAGAGTCCATGGATACTAGCGAAGGTTTATTTGTCACCATTGCAATCTGGGATGGGCGTCAGTGGTGAGAACGAAGCGAAGAAATTCGTCTAAAATAGGCAAACAAGAACTCTTAATTTGCCCGTTGACCTGCGACACTGGGCGACCTACCTACCAACTGTGGGTCGTTTGCACGCTCCAACCCGATATCCACCATACTACAAAAGATGTTGGCAACGCGCTGGTAGCGTAGCAGAAGCGGAGGCAGAGCACAGGATTGGCAGGGCCATTGCGCTTGATGTAAAGTACTTTGGCCGCTTAAACAACTCTCCAGGATTAGGCATGCACATCTGTTCCATCCCTGAGCATAGTGGACAGGAAGGTGATTGTTGATGGCGCCCCCTTTTACGGCTTTAAAATGCGCGACAAAGGCGCTAAAAGTCTGCTAAACCTGCGAATCCTTCGTCTAAAGCCTTCCCCTATCGCTTGCTACGTGACGCTGCTTGAAAAGCGCGGGCGCAGTTACGGCAACGGTTCCTTTGCGGTTAACTGTCATTGGCACTGGAGCAACTTGAGCTATCTCGAAACTCGTCTAACACGCCCCTTCTCTATCTCAAGGTGAAAGGAGGGAAACAGGAGCAGTCCTTATTTGGGGCGTAATCGGTGATTGCTTTCTTTTTCTTTTTTCATCTTCAACTTCATTCCAGGCAAGGATTCTCATACGAGTTTCTGATGAAGTTCGCGACCAATCTCAACTTCTCAAAGTGGGCCATCTATGCACTAGGAAATGCGACGATACGCCACGGATTATTGCGCCTCCTCAAGCGTCATCGAATCGAGTTGCTGCCAATGACTCTATCGGTAGTCACAAGAACACGTACACGAAGTTTTGCTACCAGTCACAATTTATGAGTGAGTTATGGATAAACAGGGGAGGGAGCTTTTTGCACGGGGCGCAGTTGTTGAGAGAAGTCTTAGCGTAATTTTTTGAGACCGTGCTCCACAAGCCAGGGCACCCTTTGTTAACTGCATTAACCTTCTGCAAGCCATGAAGTTCCGTTGCTGCGGTCGAGCTTCAGCTGCCTACAACAACTGGTTGAGCTTAACCAGCTGAAACTTATCCAATTTACTCACTGGTGGGCTACATATACTTCTGTGTAGAAAATATTTCTGACCCTGCAATCCTTTGTCGACCAGCATTATGAATAACGTGGTAATGTTCTGTGAGCCGTCGATGACCTGGTTGAGCTCATACATTGTCACTTGTTGAACGTTGCAGATTCTTCGCAAATCGCAGCGTAGAAGGAGTACGAAATTGTCGGACACTAGAGTGTATCCTTCGGTATTCAGTTCAGCATAGGTTTTGACTTACCAGGGTGTGGTTATTCTATCTTCAGTGTAGAAAGCGATTCTTCCTTGATTGCTCCCTTCCGTATAAGTTGTGCCATTAATATGATAGCAAGGTATACATGGAATAAAATAAATAAATAAATATGGCATTGGTAGACTGCAATTTGTAATGAAACATGAATGAAATGAATAAACTCTGCAGATATATGGCAATGTTTAGCAGAAGCAAAAAGTGGTACGTACTTTTCGGGAAGCACAAATCTTCTAATTTCTGCCCAGCTTGCAGATCTACAAAAAATAATAATGAAGGAAGTTATGAATGTTTGAATGTGAAAACTCGCGTGTGCACAAAAAACGGAACAACGGGACGATTTTTTGAAGAATTGAACATTTGCAAAACTTAAATTTTTTAGAAAGAAAACAATTTTGAATTTTCAGAATTTTTGTATCCCATCTCATGAGACCGTTGTTAAAGGAAGATATACCTTTTAAATGAAGAGATTTGTATTGTAACGTAATTGCTGCGAAGTTCTGTGATTCACTTTATAAAAATAGGAGGTTCGAGAGCTGTTGAGGAGAGTGGAAAAATTTGGTTGGCTTCTGTAAGAAGAAATCTTCTCGATAACTACTATGCCTAGGTTCACACGGATGTTTGCGAATTGCTTCTGCTAATGAGTAAAATTTCATGTTGCCTCGATCCCCGTCCTCTGAGCGAGACAAAGCGCGCGGACTTACCACTGTCCACCACCTCTCCATGTCGGTGACGGCCCACACACCGATGATGGGCCTAAAATATGTAAAAAGACACAATAGCTAATATAGAGGGCCGCCCAGATACAATCTGAAGATGGGGTGTAATACTTTAGAATTCGAGCAACGCATGGTCAGTCCTGCCTCCATCACTTCTTACAGCTGTATAGGCATGGGAATGGTTTCACGTCGTCGCGCACATGTCATATTGCTTGCGTACTACTCTTCAACACAGAAGTTTGTATGTTAAGAACGTCTACATCTATGCAACCAAGATAGCTATATTGGATGAGGGTTTCCGCTACTCTTTTTTCATTTGGCTTTAGCCGCAATCTAAGTAACCTCAAAAACAGCGCTCTTGTCAAGAAATTTGCATGATACTTAGCAGGTCTAGCACCACAGAACACTGAAATTTTCCTTGCGAGGTCGTCATTGGTTATGGCGGAGAGGCCCAT